GAGTGGCGGGATGGAGGCCCGAGGCATGGACTTGACACTTGGCCCGTTTTGACTGAGAGCGAGAGCAAAATGAATCCCCAGGAGGGGTTTCCAGAATTGTCGGTGAAACCGACAGCAAAGGTTCCGGTAACGGAACAGCAACCTTTGCATCAACAATGTTGGTGGCAAAAGGCACAGACGTCTGTGGAGAATCAAAGTGTGAAGTGTTACGGAACATAATGTTTCGAGATGCCCAGTCAATCAACGGATTGTAGCAGGATAAGAAACTGTAACCTAATACTGCTTTACAAGATGAATCTAAATGTGTAACATAGAAGGGCGATAGAAGCAGCTCACCAGAAGGAAACCGAACAGCGATGTTCACCATATCGGTAATGGGTCTAGAAGATAATGACCCATCAAAAAGACAAATATTAACAGGAGAGATCTTGGTAGTCAGAATAGAATTTTGTGAAATGTAACGAGTATCAATAAAAGAGTCAGTAGAACCAGAATCAACAAGAGTAGGAAATTTAAGAAGAGCAGAGATAGGTTCGGCTGGCGCGGCCAAATTGGATAATGGAAACTCAGTAGTTAATGATATTACAAGAGATTGTTCAAAACAAGAAAGAGTGGACGCATTAAGATATAACTCCCCAGGTGAGGTACGAACCTGATCAACGCAGCTCCTGTTTCATACCAGGGAACAAGAGCTGCAGATTAGTTTTCTGATTCCTCTTCCACAACAATCGGCATTGCTTCGGGGGTTTCTTCAACTTCAGCAGCAGGACCCTTTGACTCTCAGGCCTTTCGCTTATTGCAGTCAGCAATTTGATGCTTACCACCACAGAAGAGACAAAGATTGTTTTTCATCCTTCTTCCCCTTTCGGAGGGAAGGACTTTCCCATCTGCACCGAGATGGTTGAACGCGGGGTGCTGACCGCCGCAATGAGAGGGCAGAGGATTTCTTGAAGGAATTTGAAGTCATCATGTGAGACGCTGGATATGTCAAGGATGCCCCCTATGTCATCAGGCTAATCAAGATGAACTGCGCGTTGCAACAGAGAATGCTTCCATTGTGGCAAGCAAGGCCACATTGCGAAGTTCTGTCCAGAGAAAGCACCAAAACTGCAGTTTGTCAGAGGCATGTGGAGCCGGATGACACAGGAGGATCAGGAGGTTATGGCCAAGGAATTGGGCTTTGTCCTGCCCCAGCAGTAGATGCAGGTCTGCCGGGGCCAATCTCAGAATCAGTATCGGACTTTTTATCATCGTCATATGTAGACAGTCAATTTAGTTTTGAATTTGGTAGTACTGGTACATCCAATAAAAATAACCTGTCTACAATGACGACCCAAACTGAGGAAAAACCTGTGAGATATGAACCAAACACACCTGAATAGGTGGTGCAGCGGTTACAAATGGACAAACTCCCCATGGCTATAGGAGTCCTTAGAGCCTGGATGCCTGAAAGTCGTGTCAGAGAAGCATTGGAAGAAACAGTATTGGCTATATGGAATCTAAGTCATGCAACCGCAACTGAAGCAGTTACCAATCTCAAAGTTGTAAGAGATTCATCCAAGGTACCCGAGGACGTGAGCCAAAGTTGCGAACCACTAAAAACCTTAGATCGGGACGAATACGGCCATCACGTTCACCCATGGCTTCACCTTTCTTCTTTGTCAAAAAGAAAGATGGAACACTATGGCCTGTACAGGATTATCAAAAACTAAACGACATGACTGTCAAAAATTGATACCCACTCCCATTAATACAGAAACTCATTGATAAGCTGAAGAATTCCAAAATCTTCACCAAGATGGATGTCTGATGGGGATTCAATAACATCTGGATCAAAGAAGGAGACAAATGGAAAGCAGCATTCCGGACAAACAGAGGCTTGTTCAAGCCTACAGTTATGTTCTTTGGACTTACAAACTCACCTGCCATGTTTCAAGCATTTATGGATCACATCCTTCGAGAATTAATTGATCAAGGACACATCATTGTCTACATGGATGATATCCTTATCTTCACGGACAATATTGAGGAACACCGAGTCATTGTCAGAAAGGTTCTTGACATCCTAAAAGCCAACAAACTGTACTTGAAACCTGAAAAGTGTACCTTTGAGGCTAGGGAGGTCGAATATCTTGGAATCATTGTAGGCAATGGACAAATCCGGATGGACCCGAAAACGGTTAAAGCAGTCCAGACCTGGCAGCCACCAGAGAAAAAATGTGAACTACAATCATTTTTAGGGTTTTGCAACTTCTTCCGCTGGTTCATCTGAGATTTCAGTTAAATTACCAAACTGCTAACACAGCTCACAGGGAATGCAACTTGGGAATGGACATCTCTTGAACAGGATGTGTTTGATCAACTGAAAGACTGGATCATCGAAGATGTCACTCTCATTATCCCAAGAGAAGCTGATTCTTCCGATTACGCAAATGGTGCCGTCTTATCACAAAACGTTAACAGAAAGTGGAGACCAGTAGCCTTCAGGTCCAGATTACTCAACGAGGTTGAACGGCACTATGAAATTTACGACAAAGAGATGATGGCCATCATGGATTCTCTGTCAGACTGGAGACAGTACCTGCTGGGTGCAAAAGAACCTGTTGAGGTCTTCACAGATCACCAGAATCTCCAGTACTTCCGGAAACCTCAGAAGCTGAACCAACGACAAGCCAGATGGGTAGTCGAAATCCCTGAATACCATATTAAACTCTTCCATAAGCCTGGGAAATCAATGGGAAAAGCCGATGCCCTGTCATGGATGTCAGGCCTTGAGAGAGGGGAGAATGACAATATCAACATCACACTACTAAAACCGGAATTTTTCATTTCTCAAATAACGGATCAGACATCTGCCCCCAAAGACGATCTGCTTAATCTCATCTGAAGAAAGAAAAACCAGCAAGACAAGTTAGTACAGGTTGCCCTCGAGTCTAAAGACAAGGAATGGCTTGAAACTGAGGATGGACTAGCAGTTTGGCAAGGACGTATCTGTGTCCCCAAGGACAAAGAGCTCAGAGGACGAATCATACAGGTACATCATGACGCCCAGACAGCAGGACACCCAGGCCGCTATAAGACTATCAAGTTGATTACACGCAACTACTGGTGGCCAGGGATCAGTCGGGGCGTCAGGGTCTACGTGGAGGGCTGTGGGGGGTGTCGGGCCACAAAGGCACGTCGTGCGGGACCTGTAGGACCATTGCATCCACATGACGTACCATCTGAGCCTTGGGAAATCATAGGAACAGATATGATTGGCGAGTTACCGGAGTCTGGAGGGTATAATGCCATCAGCGTGTTTGTTGATCACTTCACGAAGAGGTTACAGCTCTTTGCCACGCATACTACAATAACATCTGAAGGAATGGCACATGTCTATTGTGACAAAGTATTCCCGATCCATGGAATGCCCTGGAAGATTGTCCACAATCGAGGCCCTCAGTACCACGCCCACTTCATGAAGGAACTGTACAAGTTACTGGGAATCGAAAACTATACAACTGCATACCATCCTCAAACCAATGGCCAGACGGAATGGATAAATCAAGAGATTGAACATTACATCCGCCTTTTTGTGAATCATCATCAGAGCAATTGGCACAAGTGGCTTCCTATGATGGAGTTTGCATACAATGATCAGGTGCATTCAGCTACAAAAGTCTCACCCTTCTACACAGACAATGGCAGACACCCATACAAAGGAACCACGCCAAAGATGACGTCACAAACCCCAACAGACCAGGAGTTTGCCAATAGTATGAAACAGATCAGGGAAGAAGTAGGGTTGGCACTGAGAAAGGCCACTGAGGACATGAAGCGCCAATATGACAAACACCGGAATGAGGCAATAGAGTATAAGGCTGGAGATAAAGTTTGGCTTGAAGGAACCAACATGACAACAGATTGCCCAATGAAGAAATTAGGTGATAAACAATTTGGACTGTTTAAAGTTCTTGAAAAGATTGGACCCAGCTCATACAAACTAGACATCCCTCGCACATGGAAAAGAATCCATAATGTCTTCAATAAAACACATTTATCCCCATACCATGGACCCCAGTTCCCAACACAACCCCAAAATACCAAGCCACCTCCAGAAGTAGTTGGAGAAGAAGAAGAGTATGAAGTAGAAGAGGTTGTGGACACACGCAAGTATTGGAATGGCATCCAGTACAAGGTGAGATGGAAAGGTTACAGACCACATGAAATGATGTGGGAGTCTGCAGCTAATATGATGAATGCCAAAGAAGCTGTTCAGGACTTCCACAAGAAGTATCCTAACAAGCCCAGGCCTCGAACCCTTAAACGGATTGAGATTCCGATTGCTCAGTTGCCTCCTTTATCATTCCACCACCTAAGGTTTTCTTGGGTGTGACACCTGGTGACACCTGTTACTAGAACCAGTCGCTGACAGAGGAGGTACAGGAATAGATAGGAAGTGTGGGAGCGTGTGGCTGGTACTGGGACTGGCCTGGTTGTAGCCAGGGCATGACAGCTCGGCTGAGGTTGGGTGCAGGTTCCCAAGAATTGTGCCCTGTGTCATAACCCTTCCACTTCACTAAGTATTCCAGCTTCTTCCACCGTACTCAGCTGTCCAGGATATCCTCCACTTCATATTCCAGTTCATCTTCATCCTCTAGGTACACTGGTTCCAGTGGTGTTGGTATTTTGCCTCACCCACACTTAGGACACCATTGTATTGCCATCACAGAGCAAGCCTTTTGTGACCTCACTGCGCTCCCTCACATCATTGGCATACCAATTCAAACTCCTTGGTTCCTCCTTCAGCCACTCCTGGTTTGAACAAGTTATATGATTTGTATGAAACTCCCTTGCGCAAAGGCATTATGGAACTACAGAACACCTCTACCTCCTTCATTGTACATTCATCCCCTATTATGGCAGACGCAGCACTGCTGCCAGAGTACAGCAGCTTTGTATTTTCTCCTAAAAAAGGAAGCATTCCATCAGCATTGAATTACCTTTTATCCCAGCCACCATCCACCATCTTCGAGGAAAAGCTCCAGAAAGCATTGCATATACTCACGAAGAAATATTCAATCCTAAAGGAGCAGACAATCATCATGCAATCAAGCATGGTTTTGAATACTGCATATTGCAATAGGCTCAGGGAACAGCTAGCAGCACAAGAGGAGAGTTGGAAACGTACCGCGAAAGGCAAACTCATGGGAGATGGACAACCTCGACTCTTAATTTCATGAGAGTTTGTCCAGCATGTTGAGGAGTTTACAAAAGTGGCACTAGAAAAATAATCAGCTGCAAATGAGAAACAGGCAAATAAGGAGGACAGAGCTGCAATGAAAGTAACCTGGGAGAAGCTACAACAAGATTGAGACAAGCAGAATAAAGCTAACAAGGTTCAATGGAAGGAAGATTGTGGGGTGTGGGACAAAAATAAGAAGAAGGGTATCAATCAGGGACCTCAGCCAAAGTGGGGAGATGTTTGGTTTCCACCAGTCCTGAAGTCCTGGGTAGTCACCAATAAAGATAAAGATGCTGGGAATGGAGACATCGGTGATGATGATGACAACAACAACACCACAGATTCTAAGGATAATGAATAACAATTAGATTTTCTTTACATATAGGCTTTGCTGCTATTGGAGTCAGAGCCAGGTCCAAAACACTCTGGGAAATTGAAGTCCTGGCATCGACCCACTCTCCATCATCTCTGTAATTTTCTTCCTTCTGTCATAACACTTTGGGTCTCTTTCTCGTATCCTATCCTCGCAGTATTGGTTTGGGTCAAATACTATTTTCTTGATAACTTCCTGTACAACCTCTTAGGGCCAGTGCTGGTCTCGAGGCTCCATTAGAGACCGCAGAGTTAGCTCAGTAAACTCATCATTGAGTTCATTATATTGCTGTTTCAAAGATTCGAGTTCATCCTGAATTGCTTCAAGTTGTTGAATTTTGGATTGAGCACAATTCTCCGCTGCACAACTCATTCAGTTCAACAAGAAACCATTCATATTCAAACACGTACCCTGACGGACACTGTCAGCAACTGCTTCTAGTAACAGGTGTTACCAGGTGTCACACTCAAGAAAACCTTAGATGGTGGATGTCAAGTCCATGCCTCGGGGCCCCATTCCGCCGCTCGGTATTCCGAAGATCCACCTTTATTGTAATCTCATCCTTATTGTTCTTTCTCGCTACACATACCCTTTCATTCTAGTCACTCCTTATTGTCCTTTACTTTACCCTGCAGGTACTACTTGTATAGCTCCTAGTAGTTAGTCTGGCGCTTTGCACCGATGCGCCAATCCGTAGATATAAATACTGCCTGTACGCTACTGTAGTTCCTCAGTTTAATTATTAATTTAGATCTCCCTTCCCAACTTAGCCCTTCTCTAAGTTTTCAGGCTCAACGCCTTGAAGTACGTTCTAGTCTACCTTAGGACTTAAACGTTCTTTGGTTCGCTCCTCGTCATTGGCGATATCGCCGCTCCGACTTGGCTGCTACTAAGCTCCTCCCTTCTATAATCTCCAGGGACTAATGGCGTAACGGCGGAGTTCCAAACATGAGAGCTCCCGATGGAATGTAAGCCTGGGAGGGAGGTCCTGGGAAGTGGAGGTAACAGCGGACATCCTCAAGCAATGGGGGAAGTAGTGGAGAAGCGGTACATAGTTTGACGTTACTGAGATCAAAGTCCCTGAGCTTGTGGAGCACTTGGGGAGGTTGGCTCACCAAAACGATAGACATTGGGGAGCTTTAGTATTGGTCAAGGGAGGTTGAAGACTCACTCAGGTTGCTTAGACGTGAGGTAAAAGCGTGTATTGGATCGTTTAGATGATCATAGAGATGAAGATAGAAGTAGGGAAACAGAGATAGTGAAACAGGGAGTAAGAGAAATCCGTATAGTTAGCAGGTACAAAGGGACAGGGACTGGACCTATGCAAAAGGGCGTGTGTTCAAAATATACCAAGCTGGGCTTCTGGATGCTACGGGACTGTTTGAATACATATAGGGAAGTTAACAAAGGGACATAGTATGAAACAGGCACTTAATGGGGTTTCTGTTAAGATCATGTACACGGTGAAACCGTGCCAGGGCCACAAGGTGTCTAAGTGCGGAAGACAAGTGGGACAGTAGTGAAGTTATTAACAACACCGCTGTTACGCCATTAGTCCCCCGAGATCGAGAGTATAGAGAGAGGAGCTAAGTAGCAGCCAAGTCGGAGCGGCAGTATCGCCAATGACGAGGAGCGAACCGAAGGACGTCTAAGTCCTAAGGTTATAGTAGAGAGTACTTCAAGGCGATGAGCCTGAAGACTTAGAGGAGCACAGAGTTAAGGAGGGAATCTAAGTTGATCTAAGTTGATAATTAAACTGAGGAACTACAGTAGCATATAGGCAGTATTTATATCTACGGATCGGCGCATTGGTGCAGAGCGCCAGACTAACTACTAGGAGCTATACGAGTAGTACCTGCAGGGTAAAGTAAAAGACAATAAGGAGAGACTAGAACGAAAGGGTATGTGTAGCGAGAAAGAACAATAAGAAGAGATTACAATAAAGGACAGATCTTCGGAATACCGAGCGGCGGGATGGAGGCCCGAGGCATGGACTTGACAGTTTCTAAGCACATGAGGATGGAATGATGGATGTATGTACATGGTTCTAGAGCTCTGTAGTAACATTGTTCAGTTGAATTGAGGGAAGTTATTGATTGTGGAGGTTGTTCTAGCAGTAAGGAGGTCTAAAGGGATGTTGGGAGGGATATTGGGGGTCCAGAAAAGGAGACTGGGGAGGTTGGGAACTATGTTAAGGAGCTTGTGGGCTATGCGATTTGGGGTGAGGCATGACATTACCCCCCTGTCTACTCCTCCAAGCCTCCAAGGAGGGTCCTTTTTGCTGTCATGTGCTTTCCACGTGACTCAACCTTTTCCCATTCATAAGTTCGTTTTCTGGTGTTTTTCCAGATCCTTGCCATCATTATCTGAGTTAAACTCAATTACTATTAGCTTCACCCTGTCATGCCTTGCCTGATTTTGCTTCCTTACCTATCATATTACTCCTCATTACCTTCCTATATCTCCCCACTGTATACCCAGAGCTCCCCTTGTCTGCTTTCACCATATGAAACGAGATCTAATCCGTCACACGAATCGGATTCGTCTCGAGTACGACGGGAGGTTCACTTTGCTCTGAAGGACTGCTCAAATTTCAGGGTTACGGGAGGTAGACTGAGTTCTTAGACTCAGAAAGATGGGGGATAAAAATCTGTCTATTCCTTTGGTCAACCTCCTCCCTAAGTAGGAGAAGATACAGTGTACATGTAGTTAAAATTTATGCTGAAACAAAATGAAAGCACCCTCAAAACAAACCAACGGTACCCTTTTTGAGGGATTACCGCTGAGGCTGTTCTGTACGCCCTGTCCTCAGTCCGACGCGCTGCTTTTCGCATAGGACTTGTCGAGTTCTGTGCGCAGAGGCACATGGAGCTCGACAACCACTATGTAATATGCCACATGGCTGTCACATGTATCATATATGGTCCCTGTTAGTACAGTTTACTAGTACTTGCTAACAGGGCCTGACATGTCTCACCTGTCATATATTTCCTCTTTATCTGTTTCCCTTCTCTGTCTCAACTCTCCGAACACCTCTCAACCTCCTACATCTACCTCTGGTTAGGCTCCCCTCACCAGTACCGGCACTTCCCATACTTCCTTGTACGGCCTAGGTGGCTACAGCATTTACTTAGGCCCAGTCTGGGTAAGACCAGAGCAGGCCCTCTATGCTAGGGCCTCACACACCCCTCCCAGTACCATTACCAGAGCTCCTATCCCCGTTTCACCACCAGTGTTTCCTCTGCCCCATCCCAATTCCGCTGAAATGACAATCAATGTGGCTATTAATGAACTGGCTAGCACCATTGAAGAGCCCCCTCTAGGTCAACTAGCCTTGTTCCACTCTGTTTTTGGCATAGGTGTTTCGTTGGCTAGATACATCATCAATGATCCCCTCTGGCCATTACTCGCGGCTGCTGAGCTTCCTTGTTCTTTTTATGTTAGAGGCAAGAAGGAGGCCAATTGTTCCGTTGTTCCCTATCTTGCTTGTTGCAGTAATTGTGACAATAAAAAACCCTGCGTCCTGGGTCAGTTTGCGCACTTTCGATATTTTTCGCGTAAGTGTTCCCGCGACTTAGTGTTTGCTCGTAGGTTTTTGGAGGTGCATGGCAATCCGGGTCAGTGTACCCATTTCACTCTTCCTTCCGAGCAGTGGAGGAACATTGCACTGAATGCGTTGGATGAGCAAGATCAACAGGAACTGGATCGTTTGGAGCTTGGTGACTTCCTTTGAAAGCAGCCCCAGCTCCCCGGACCTCCAGCCACCAGTTCCTTGCCTCCCCCAAGTCCTTCTGTCATGGCAACTCCTTGCGTGCTGGTGAAGAAGAGAAAAAGGGGTGTCCGGCAGGAGGAGGGAGGTTCCTCTTGGTGTAAGTGTCCCGTTGGAGAAGTTTCAGAGCTTGATGTAGTTCCAGAGGTCCATGACCACAAGCATAAACATCCTATATGGGGAAGTCGGGATGCTGAGGTCCCAGATTATCGTAGAGTGGTGTTGGTTCTTCGCCCCCCCTCATGGATACTCCTGATCTGGCCGCTTTGTTTGGTGGTCCCATCAATGAGATTGTGTATTCTCCTCCTCTGTCAGAGGAATCAGGAAGCAATTGAGTTCCTCTTCCATCATCTCAGGGTCATTCCTTGAATCTCCTGACCTGCAAGCGGTCTAATTTGCCTGGTTTGTCTAATCAGTTTGTTCCACCAGTGGTGCCGGAACATTGGTCAGCAGTGACCATAAAAACCCCTCCTCTTTCTCAGGTGAGTCCCCTTTGTTCTTGTTTCCTGATCTGAACCTGTGTCTTATGCCTGTATCCCAGCGTTCCCGAGAGGTTCTCCACTCCTACCCTCGAGCTCAAGCCACTGCTGTCATGCACTGGCACTAAACCACGACGCGGTAACTCCCTTCTTTTCACTCAAGCAACATCCCCGAACCTCCTTCCTCTCTTGGAAACCTCCCCTTCCCCTCTTGAGAACATCCTGACGCCACCTCTATCCTCAAAACCGCCACCTGAACTCAATACCTCCTCAACCACCTACCACCTGACAGACCCAGGAACTCGCCCACACATCCATCAGACTGTCCTCATGTATTCTAGATCATCCCCATTAAATGCTCACTTCACACAATGCTCCCCTGACCCTTTCATGTTGTCTATATAAGTACCCTTATGTCCTAAAGATTCCCAGCTTGGTATATTTTGAACACACACCCTTTTGCATAAGTCCAGTCCCTGTCCCTTTGAACGCCTAATGCCGTGGTGAGCTAACCTCCCCAAAACCTCCTCGAGCTCCCCAATTGCTCCACAAGCTCTGGGACCTCAATCTAGGTAACGTTGAAGCTACCCCCTACGTCAAACTATGTGCTGCTTCTCCGTTACAACCTCCAACACTCGAGGATGTCCGCCTCCAAGCCCCAGTTCCCGGGACCTCCCCTCCCGGGCATATATCTTCTCAGGAGCTTAGACACTCAAGACCCACTTCCGATACAACCTATTTGATCCTACATTGATGTTCTAGCAAGTACAACTCCTACTACGCAATACTACTAGGTACCATACTTCTACCTTCCCTACCTATGCCTTAGGGACCTCTCTGGACCTCTCTGGACTGTATAGGGACCTCCTCAAGGGTCACATCTCTCTGTCCCATCCACTACTAGGTCATTCCTGTCCTCGGTCGCGGTTCCTGTAGCTCCCTTCGAGCTCCAGCCTGCTCCTAGCACACTACAACATAAACTCCATATACCAAAACCTACCCTAAGACCTATTCTGACCCAGGTCTTACAACTGCTGCTTTAAAAGCTGAAAACAAAGCTCTACAGGCTGAAGTAGCAGACCTCCGCAAGCTTCTGGAGGCTTTTCATACCAACACTTTGACACCCACCTCCCTCCTTCTTTAGACAATCGTAACAAGGACCTAGAGGCGAGTCGTCGCTGCAGATTGTTTGGAGTATAGCCGTGTTCTAGCTCAGTTTAGGGCTATTGAGGCTGAATTGCCAAAAGTTCCCTTGGAGGTGGTTGTTGTTTTTCTCCTCCCCTTTTCTTTCCTACTGACTTGTAATTCCTTGACTTCAGGATGTGCTTACACAATTTCACCTTGCAGTGTCAGAGGTAGACTCCTGTAGGGGAGTGGCCATAAGGCAGAAGCAGGAACTTTCAGAACTTTGCAAGCAGGTTGACAAGGAACAGAAGTGGTCTTATGAGGCCCACGAGGAGTTGGACGCTGCTAATGCGCATGCTATACGTCTATGGGACTGTCTGGAGGAGCTCGAAGAATCTGTCCATCGTTATTGGACACAGGCTCATGTCGCAGAGGAGCTTATCCGGAAGTACCCTGAGGATGAGGGGTTGTATGAGGTGGACCTACCTTTGCTTTCCTCCTTGCAGGATAAGTTGACTGCTTCCACGGCAATGTTGCGTCATATGGCCATCTTTGCTCATTGGTTGCATTCCGCTGACCCTGCTAACCTCCTTCACCATAACAATGTGTACGTGGGAGGTCTCATTGAGTTGGTCATCACACTCCTGTCGCGTAGTCTCCCCATCCTCCGGAGCAGATGAGACCTGTTGTTGAACTGGCTCTGAAGTACTTGTCCCAAGGTCAACTTACCCATGGCGAGTTACACCTCCAGTTGATTAGTAGCTTGTTGTATTACTATTCCAATGCTGCTGATCATGTTGATGGGCTGTATCAGGACATGTTTGCCCACTCTCGCTTTTCCTCCAACAAGGTGTTGCTTACTGCTTCCCAACACGCAGGTTATGTTGATGCTCGTTCTGGTTCCCTAGAACCTTCCTTACACTGTTGACCCTTTTCCTTTGGCCATCCCATACCCCTTCCTCAAAGTCCCACTTCCGGTCATATCCCCGCTGTTCCCATGATGGACTCTGTAATGTTGATGTGGGAGGGTATGATTGAGGCCTATATTTGTGAGGTTTTAGGTTACCCTGCTTCCCCAGATCATGTCCCGCCCCTGGTAGAAACTCCCAGTTCCAATGCTCTCCTGCCGGCAATTACCTCCTTGGTCACAGATGATGCTCGTTCCATGCTAGGTGCAAGTATCCCTGTGCCACGGAGGACCCCCTTGTTCTTACCAGGATCCTTGTTGCCCACCTCTCCTCATTCTCCTTCCCCCATCCCTTCCTCCCCTTGTGTTCTTGACATCTCTCACAAAGTCGTTGATCTAACTATAGATGATGCCGAGGACCTGTACGAGTTGCAGGAAGAGTTTCTTGCTCGGACAGGTGGGGCAGCGACAGTTAAGCAGGAGATTACAGAGTCCGACGTAGTGTAGCCCCCTATCTTTGTTGTCTCTTTGCTGTAATATATTTGTTTTGGATTCCGTCACTTCCGCTAAGTCTGAACTCTTGTGGAAATGTAAAAATAAGAAAAAAAAATGCTGAAAATCAGGAGAATTTGAGGAAGAAATCGTAAGGCTGTAGTGTTGTAGTGCTCATCATGTTTCATAGGTTTGCCATTATATCATTAGCTCCTGCTCTTCCGTTCTTCCCTCCCTCTCCTCCCTGTCACTCCGTGTCTTTCATTGCCTATTCCCCCCGTCTGTCCTTCAAAACCTCCTCCTCATCCTCCCGTGCATCCCTTTCAAGAGAAGCCCAATGCTTCTGCGACGGCTGCCACTTCCTTGGATGGTTCTCGTGCCAACTTTGCAGGAGCCCAAGGGAGCCTGCTGTCACAAAGTGGCAGCGGTAGAGTGACTAAAGCAGGGAGGCAGAGCGGTAATGCAGAGTGACTGAGCAGAAGTGATAATGCGGAGCAACTAAGCAGAGCAGAGACGGACTGGTCCCAAGATAATGACAGAGAGGTCAAGATAAGGGACCAGGCTGTGGGGGTTGGGCTATTTATACATAATCTGATCTGCGAGAAATGACGATGTAATACTGTACAGTTTAGTAGAAGGAGAAGGGTAATAGGTGGATCAGTAATTGATGGGATTTGATAGTGATGTAATCGTACAAGTAAAGGAGTCAAAACGGTGAGAAAAGGAAAATGATAGGGGCTACGTACTTCATGACAGTACTCCTCGTCCTTTACTTCCTCTATCTTTGCCTTCATCCTTGGAGCTTTAAGAGAAGCTTCAGGGAGTTACTGTTCCGTCCGCAAAGCTGATCTGGTCAGTGTAAACCTGAGTTCTCAATCTGCGGAGGTAGATTGCCTATTGAACAGCTCCAAAGGAATGCTGTTCGCTAAGTAAAACAAGTTTTCAAGGTGTCACATAGCGACGGTTTTGTCTATGAAGCATCTAGTTGCTCCACTATCCACTAGTATGGCATACTCTTTGTCTTCGTCGGGGTCGGAGAATGGAAAGCGTGTAGGTGAATGCATATCTCGAAGCCCCCTTCCCATTTCCCGCCTCGTCCAACAGTTCTTGCTCACCTTCTTTTGGTGAGTCCAGGATGTGAATGTTCCAGATGTCGTCCATTCCCTCCCTTTCCTCCACTATGATTCCGGCACAAATTCGTTCTAGAGGACTAGTTGAATCATCCTTACGACCTCCCCCTTGGTTGGCTGTCCCTCTTCCTCGAGTTGAATCGGCCTTGGAAGCTCTCTCTGAGCTTCCTTGATCCTCCACTGGACATTCCAGTGATTCTGGGTTAGGACAGTCCTTTGCTCAGTGCTCCTTTCGTCCACAACACATACAGAGCTCTTGTCTTTGTCTTCTCCACTTCTCTGCTCTTTCTTTGGGAGACCATTTCCTCCTCCATTCTCCATCCCTGCAGTGGCAGCAGTCTTCCTCTTCTCCTAGATTTTAGTTCTCGTAGTTTTCCTCATCCCCCCAAGCTGTAGAAGCCCTTTGTTGTCCCTCTTTCCAGTTGGACCTGTTTTGGAACCTCCCTGTCATAGCTGGTTTTGGATTGGAGGTCAAGACGTCAGCTGTATCCCGTTCCATATGCAAGGGGGACTTATAAGGGGCTTCGGGTGCTAGCTCCAACCTGGGAAAGCGACTCAGCCATCCTTGCAGTGTTTTTTCACCATGGAGGTTCTGTCATGAAGTACATAGCCCCTATCATTTTCCTGTTCCCACCGTTTCGACACCTTTACTTGTACAATTACATCACTATCAAATCCCATTGATTACTGATCTACCTGTTACCCTTCTCCTTCTACTGGCTTCCGCCACCTTCCTTGTTCCTAAACTGTACAGTATTACATTGTCATTTCTCGCAGATCAGATTATGTATAAATAGCCAAACCCCCACAGCCTGGTTTCTTATCTTGACCTCTCTGTCATTATCTTGGGACCAGGTATGTGTTACTTATTATTACCTATGACTACAATACTCAATATATCTCTGTCATTATCTTGGGACCAGTCCATCTCCACTCTGCTTAGTCGCTCTGCATCACCACTCTGCTCAGTCGCTCCACCTCCCTGTTCTGCTTAGTCACTCCGCTGCTGCCGCTTTGTGACAGGTTCCTCAAACTCTCCGCTTGCGCACGTACAGCTCCGTCCAGCTTCGTGAACACTTGAGTCCATTCATCGTAGGATTGAGGTTCTTCCTTTTCAGTAACAACCTGTAAAGGAAGCCAGGGAGCTACCCCTTTCTTGAGGTATGTCACCAGGGCCTTGTCATTAAACCCAGTCAGAGGAGCATATTCATTGAAGCGGATGAAAAAATTCATGAAGCTCTCCTCAGGCATCTGCTTCATCCAAGCTAGCCTTCTCCTTGCCTCGTCTGCTTCATCAATGTGTCTGAATTTGGAACTGAACTCCCATTTGAATTCTGTCCAGTCCTCAAGACAGGTATACTCCCCCCTCAGTTGTTGCCGATTCAACGTATTGAAGTGGCAGAGTGCTGCGCCAGTGAGGTGACTGGCTGCCAAAGCGCATTTGTCCTTTTCTCAAGCATAGATAGTAGGACGTACCCCAAACATCCTCTCCAAACTGAGGACCCACGTCTTCCATGCAGAACAATTGTCACCTGCAAAGCTCTCGATCTTACCAACATTGAGTTTCAACTCGATGGTGATTCAATTTTTTTCCTTGTTGCTCTCACATGTATTCTGTCCTTCATTGGAGGGTCTAGGAGCTGCTTTACAGTGCCAACCTTGTCTTGGATCATAGTACCAGGGTTGGTCAGGGTCATAGCAGGTTGGAGGTACTTCAGGAGCTCCAGTGGGAAGCTCCCCTCTATCCTCATTGTCCCTGCCACTGCTTCTACCCCGGGTGACTGGGTGTGTTCCCCTTTGTTGGAACTTTTGGAATCGTTATCACCCGGTCCCCCTGAGGGTGGCGGTGGAGGAGGAGGTGGAGGGGGGGCCTCTCCCCCGCCCCTTCCTTCCTGTCCCCTTTGACCCCATCCTCCCTGGGTCAGAGGTCTTTCTCAATCTCTCGAGTGACTTGAGAGGTGTGGGGGAGGCTCTCTATCAGGGAGATTAAACCCCCCTTTGCCTCCTCCACTCGCGACTACTCCACCATCCTCTAACATGTACCTTCCTCCCTCTGGTCTCACGTACTCCCCTAGCTCTGCTCTTTGCATGCAAGCTCCCCATTCCTGCACCTATCCGCACTTGGGGTGGCAGGTAGTGGGACTGTTTGTCCTTCCTGGGGGTTCCCTTCCCTAACTCCCATAGGAGTATGTCTAGTAAAGGATATTGGCTCCGTAGCTTGCCAGCTTCTTGGCTGGGGAACTACCAGAGGGGGACCCCCCCTTATGTCATTTATCATTACCATGGGCACTTGCCCGAATAATCCCACCATGTTTCCTGTTTTGGAAAATGGTCCACCAGTTGGTATCCCCTCCGTTATGAACCCTTTCCTTACCTCACGGAGTTGCTCCTGGAGCGTCTCAATGACTTGAGCCTGCTGTTGGATCATTATTGCCAATTCCTGAGAGTGTGCTGAGTCAACAACCATGCTGGGTCAGTTTGTCTGAGCTCCTGTCACAAAGGATGTTCCAAAAGAAGGTACTGCCTTTTCATAAACTGCCAACATTCTTCCTTGGTTTGGCCCCCTCTGAGTCTCTTCTCCCATGTCAAGTCCATGCCTCGGTGCCCCATTCCACCACTCAGTATTCCGAGATTTACCATTTATTGTAATCTCATTCTTATTGTTCTTTCTCGCTACACATACCCTTTCATTCTAGTCTCTCCTTATTGTCTTTTTCTCTACCCTGCAGGTACTACACATATAGCTCCTAGTAGTTAGTCTGGCGCTCCGCACCGATGACATGCCTAAATTTTGGCTAGACGTCTATGCTGTGAATTGTGACATTTTCATGTATAGATTTGTATCGAGAGGACTGTAATTGAGACCCAGGTTGACAGTCAAAGTCAATACTGAATCAGTCTAATAAGTTGAAGGGACCATATACCCATACTACCACAAGTTGGTTAGTTTACCCATCCCCAATACTACCTTCAGATAGCAGTCTACCTGTTTGTCAAACAGGATTATACCAGACTCGGACTACATCCGAAGGATGACTATTCACGTATGACATACCCAGGATATTCTTATTGGACCTTACACTGGCAGGAGTTTGGAAGAACTTACTCAAGTGACCATGAACCAAGGATTGACTCGAAATGACTTTCTAGAACTCAGGAATTATCAAATACTCCTTCTAGAACGAGATCATGCATTAACCTAAAAGACTGCGATTTAGTCTAATAGACCAATCAGGTTGCATGGTTGAGGAAAATGACTAGAAGAACAATTGAAGTACTGTGAGGCTCCGAAGACATATCAAATGAATGTCAAAGAGTCCTAATGTAGAAAATATTGAAGAATGCAATTAAATGAATACTATGCATAACTCCCTTGATAGAATATAGGCACAATGGGTGTCTATTGAAAGAGAGAAGCAATTAGTTTAATCCAGATAAATCAGATTGATAGGATTAGAATTGAGGAGAGCTGATTTGCCTCCGGATGAGGTGACAAATGATCGAAGTAAGTGTTGAACAGCAATGACAGCTGAACACAATTCGAGTCATTCTCCAAAACAATTAAATTAAATGAACATCAGAGTACCTACCTATGTTTGGAGGTATACTAGAATCTTGGAACCATTATGAACCAAATAAGGACATGTAGATTCAAATTAAATGGAATCTGACCAATTGTAGAAGTTTCCTTGCGGTTCCGAACATTTATTGTATTGAATTGATTGTACTGTGCGATTCTATATTCTGTATGTATAAATAGCAATCCGATGTATCTGGAATACAAGTGATTTTGGGACGACGTTGCAGTGCTAATTCGTAAAAAGGAAAGACACACTCCCGCCAGACTGAAGCCTCTTCGCTAGCAGCCATTCGGGCCCGGCACTTGTGAGTATAGGAACGTCATGTTCTGCTCCTTGTGACTGCGAGAAGTATATCCAGTTGTTGGGTATTCTTCGAACTTAGGATCAGTTGTTGGTCTTAAGGGCAAATCACGCTGTGTGGTTGTGCCAGCACATAGTTCTAGCCCTCCATAGGGATCTGGGTGTTTCAGTTTTAATTTACTTTGATTCAAACCCCCAATTCTGGATATACCCATATCAATACAATCAAAGCACAAATTGTGCGGGGTAGGCATTGGAAGGCGGGCTGTATATGAGGATACAGCCTGCTGCAGTAATAGATACAGCCTGCTGTATATAGCTTATGTAATGATCTTCATTTCCCCATGGTCAATATGAACTATTTTGGTCTACCTACTCTACGACCGTGATGAATACCCTACAATGGGTTAGCAAGTACCAGGATCCAAGCAGCAACTATGTGGGTCACTGCTGGCCAACTTTGTACTGGTAGGTGTAACATCGCTCCTTTTCTTTGGTTGTGGTTTATATGGACTACATTTCGGTAGTGCGATGTGCTCTGTCTAAACCACAGTGAATTAACCAGATGTGGTTGTAACCTACCACATTTATTGAGGCCGCTAAGTGAGCAAATGTGGGTCGTGACTACCACATTCAGATCGAGAATTATTTTTCACCAGAACCATAGTGGATGCGCATATGGTTGTTGATTTACCACTTTTGGGTGGAGTATCATGGTTCACCTGAACCGTAGTCTTTTTTTTTTGATTATGTGATTGTGGTGTTCACATTTCTCAAGAATGCGTAAGTGGTTTGTGGCTACCATATTTAGATTGACAGTTATCGTAGTCTATCCATAGTCTCTCCCAGTGGATGCATACGTAGTCAGTGGCTACCACATTCAGACTGAGAGTTATTGTTCACCAGAACCGTAGTCTTTTCCATGGAAGCATATGTCGTTCTCACCTACCACAATTCTCAAGGTGGTTTGGGCCATTTATGGTGCACCTAATCCATATTCTCTCGAGGATGTGATAATGGTTATCACCTACCACCTTCTTTGAAGTGTATGGCTTGGGAGAATTATGGTTAACCTGAACTGCAGTCTCTCGAGAACCTGATTGTGGTACCCACCTACAACATCTCAAGGATGTAGTTTGTGGCTACCAGGTTTGGATTGGTGGTTATCATTCACCATAGTCTCTCTCGGGATGCATATGTGGTTGTCAGCTACCACCTTCAATTTTTTTTTCAGTCGTGGTTCTCCTGAACCATGATCACTCTTGAGGATGTGTATATGGTTGTTGCCTACTGCATTTGTGAACATACAAGTGCAGTTTTTAAGTACTACATCTGGATTTTCTCTTGCAAGGATGTGAATGTGGTTTGGATGAACTGTGATTTCACTTGAGGATCTGTCACAAACTACAGCTAACGTCCATTTTCCAGGTGAGCCGCATTCTTTCTCAAGGATAAAACCCAGTTTTATATAGTGAGACAACAGTTCCCCTGATCAACACTATTCTACTTCCAGAATGCAAACATGGTATCTCTCAACCACATTCAGATCAAGAGCTGTTGTTCAGGCGAGCAAGATGGAAGCAAAAGTGGTGTGTGATATCCACACTCAGGTGGGCTACGGTTCACCTGCACTATATTCTTGTTCATGGGTAGTGCTATGATAAGCCATATTTGAGCCAAACAATATCCAAGTTCGGGGGATATTCATCCCAATAACACAAATGTTCAGTCGAGGATATGACCACAGCTAATGACCAACATGTATGGTTACAGGGGACTGTATTTTGTTGCTGCAAGCATTTTTATTTGTATTCATTTGTCTGCGCGCGGGCCACCAGCCAGTGCACCATCGATTATCTCTAACAAAAATACAAATTTCTTTGCGACTATCACTGTCCTCGATATTTCAACAATACGTTTTCTATCCTACAGCTCACAAGGTGCCACCTCTGAGTTCAATTGTCTTCCTAGTGTTACTCAATCTCCTTGCAGTTAGGTGGACAAGATACAAGACCTCCCTGTTGATATCTTCGATGTTATCCTCGAGTTTTGTGAGCCTGGGGATGTCAAGAAATTCTTGAAGGTTTCACCCAATGCGCAGATTGCTGCAGATAAAATCATTTTCCGCACCTTGAAGCTCACAGACGACATCACCCAAAGCAAGCAACAGCTTCGACAGTGGCAGGCGTATGCCCGTTTGGGCCATCTCACTTCTTCCCCCCGAATTCTCCATATCTCCGCCTTCCACATTGTCGGAGTCCGTGCACAGTACAATGCATTTATCTGCGATATCCTGTCAATTCCCTCTATTTGCCAGCATGTCACCCACCTGATTCTAGAAATATCTCACCCCACCACACTTGCTCTGTTCCTTCGCCCAGAATTTTCATTTCCACAGGTCAACATCATCCAGGCTCACGTCCCCTGGTATCCACTTGCTCACTCGCTACCCCAGCTTGCTTTGCTTTCCCCGGGAAAGTGTATTGATGGTATTGCTGTGCACGGATCTATGATCCACCACGATAGCATACAAGCTCTCCCTGATGTGACACTTCCTTCGGGCTGCGCCCCTGTGTTGGTAAAGAAGCTGCTTTTGCCACACGCACGATCTTTGCAGGCCACTTATCCTCACATTCCCTGAGTTGTAATTTCTGGCCGGGTCGATGTTCAAAAACTGTGTACCTTCATTGTTGAGATTACAAAATGGTGGGGAGACCATGATGTTGCCCTCATACTCAGTGGTATGGTGCACCTTCAAAAGCTCATCATCAATGCCCACGGTACGGTACATATATCATCAAATCTTGCAATGAACTAACTATGCCAAACTTTTGTCACTCAGAACGACCTACTTCTCTGGACATCATACAATTTCCTCCTATCCCTGGCCTCCACGAATTCGGGTACCATGGTGATGTTTCTTTTTATAACAAGCGCAAAGAAGTTGTATATGCCTCGCAGGCTCTGCTGAATGCATTGCAAAGTATGCAATGTAATTAGATCCACCATCTCTCCCTTGACCTTTTCTATAATGGTCCTACTACCCTGGATGATGATCTGGAGAGCCACGAGGTTTTTGAGTGGAAAGTGTCACGAAGCGGCAGAGGCGGAGTGACTAACGGAGCGGGAAAGCGGAGCGACTAAGCAGAACGGTGAGGCGGAGCAACTGGACAAGGCAACAAGGCGGAGCGACTAAGCAGAACGGCGGCAGGCTGGTCCCAGATAATGACAGAGATATATTGAGTATCGTAGTCATAGGTAATAATAAGTAAGCACATACCTGGTCCCAGATAATGACAGAGAGGTCAAGATAAGGGATCAGGCTGTGGAGGGTTGGCTATATATACATAATCCGGTCTGCGAGAAACAACGATGTAATACTGTACAGTTTAGGAACAAGGAAGGTGGCGGAAGCCGATAGAAGGAGAAGATGGGTCAGGTGGATCAGTAATCGATGGATCAGTAATCGATGGGGGTTTGACAGTGATGGGATGATGTATCGTACAAGTAAAGGCGTCGAGACGGTGAGAAAAGGAAAATGATAGGGGCTGCGTACTTTATGACATTACCCCCCTCCTTATGACCATTGCCCTCGATGGTCAAGGCTTTGCCGCTGTTGGGTGTTTTTTATGAAAGGCCCGAACAATTTTTGGTGCTCGACTGAGGTTGGCTGCGGGTTCCCAAGAGTTGTGCCCTGCGTCGTAACCTTTCCACTTAACCAAATATTCCAACTTCTTCCATCGAACCCGGCTGTCTAAGATCTCCTCTACTTCGTATTCCGGTTCGTCTTCATCCTCTAAGTATACCGGCTCTGGTGGTGTTGGTATTTCGCCATTAATGGAGTTACCTTTCCAGGGGTATAGTTTATCGACATGGAAGACGGGATGGAGGCGATCTAGGGATAGGGGAAGGTCGAGGCGGTAGTCTAAAGGGCCAATTTTCTCCAGAATGCGATAAGGGCCAAGCTGTCGATCTCCTAACTTTTCACTGGAAAGTTGAAGGTTAATGTCCTCCGCACTGAGCCAGACTAGGTCTCCAACTTTAAATTGATGAGCTTTCCGCTTCCCGCGTTCGTATCCCTCCTTCTGTTGTTTCTTTCCTAGGTGTAAGGCAGCTCCGGCATCTTGTCGCGCTTCTCGGAGAATCCGTATACGGTCATCCACAGCTGGAATACCACTGCGTTGGCCCACTGGGATATTGAACAGGGGAAGATAGCCGTAGGTTAGCTCGAACGGGGACATGCCTAGCGCAGAATGAGTCCGTGAGTTAATCACAAACTCCGCCATGGGAAGGTGCTCTGCCCAGTCATCTTGTCGTCGTCCTACATAGAGGCGGATGTATTTCTCTACTTCCTGATTCGCTCGTTCGGTTTGGCCATTAGACTGAGGACGGTATCCGGAGGTTAGATCTGATTTAATTCCTAGCCTAGCGAGAAGGGATCGCATGAGTTTAGCTGCAAACTGGGGTCCGCGGTCGGATTTAAAGTGAAGAGGAAGACCATGGAGACGGAAGATCTCTCGGTAGTAAATATCGGCAACGCCTTCGGCTGTGATGGAGCTGGTGCAAGGAATGGCGTGAATTTGTTTTCCATACAGGTCTGTGCAAACCAAGACAGCATCGTAGCCTTGGGAGTTAGGTAGCTGTGTTATCAGGTCAACCCCTACCTCTTCCCATAGACCGGATGGTACATCTAATGGTTGAGTTACGGCCCGTGGGTGTCGCTGGATCTTCTTACGGGCACAAACCTCGCATCCCTCAACATATTTTTCCACAAAAGAGCGCAACGTAGGCCACCAGAAATGGGTACTGACCAAGTCAAGCGTCCCGTGTAGTCCGGGGTGTCCTGCAGTTGGATGGTCGTGGCATTGACGGAGTACCTCAGTGCGTAGGTCGTCGTTTGCTGGTACGTATACTCGACCTCGGTAGTAGACCAACCCATTGTCTTCTTCCCATTCGGCTATCCCATTGGCCAAGCGCTGTAGTCCGTGCTCTTTGACTGTTTTGAGACCCTCCAATACCTGTGCCTCCCGTTCTGAGGCTTTCCGGATACGATCCTCTAAGGGGTTCTGTAGGATCGAAGCTGCAATTTTTACGAAGTGGCCAGGTTTAAGGACTGTCTGTTGTCGGTTGTCATCGCTGTCCGATACATGATGAACTGCCATGCGGGAGAGAGCATCAGCTTGGGTGTTTACTCTGCCAGGGCGGTGGATCATATGAAAGTCAAACCGTGACAGATAGAGGGCCCATCGGGCTTGTCGGCGGGTGAGATCTTGTGCAGTGCGCCAGAATTCAAGGTTCGAATGGTCCGTAATGATGTCGAATGGTTGAGGGAGTCCTTCTAGAAAGTTCCTCCAATCCTTCAGTGCTTCAATGATAGCAAGCATTTCTCGATCGTAGATTTCGTAGTTCCGTTCCGCTGGCTGCATGGATGCCGATCTGAAGGCTACCGGATGCCATTGGCCATCGTCTTGCTTCTGCATAAGGGCGCCTCCCGTGGCAAAGCCTGATGCGTCTACCTCGATTCGAGTAGGCCTGTCTGGTGTCCATAGAGCAAGGATCGGTGCGGAGATGAAGGCTTCTCGAAGGGTATCAAATGCTTTCTGTCGAGTGTCGGTCCAGGTAAAGCTGGTGTCTTTCTTCGTCAGGTCGTTCAGAGGTCGTGCTATTTTGGCAAAATTCCGGATAAAGCGTCGGTAGAAGTTTGCAAATCCCAAGAACCCTCGTAGTTCCCGAAGATTAGTAGGGACTGGCCAGTCGCGAACAGCCGCTACTTTTACCGGATCCATTCTCACCTCCCCTTCTGAGATGATGAGTCCGAGGTATTCAATCTGTTGTTGTTCAAATTCGCATTTTTCTGGTCGTAGGTAGAGGTCGTGCTTTTCTAACCGGGTTAATACTTCCCGTACCATTCGTCGGTGTTCCTCGAGATCGTTACTGAAGATAAGGATGTCATCTAGGTAGACTGCCACCTTGCCGGCTGCAATGAGATCAGCAAATATAGCATTCATAAGTGCTTGGAACGTGGCAGGGGAATTTGTGAGACCAAAGAACATGACCTTAGGCTCAAACAAGCCTCGGGTTGTTGCGAACGCGCCTTTCCATTCATGCCCCTTCTTAATCCGTATGTTATTGTAACCCCAGCGGACATCAAACTTCGTGAAGTATTTGGCTCCCTGAAGTCGGCTAATGATGTCAGCAACTAATGGGAGAGGGTATCGGTTCTTCACAGTGTACTCGTTCAGTTTCCGGTAGTCTTGTACGAAACGGAGCTTCCCATCCTTCTTCTTTACGAAGAAGACCGGTGATGAGATTGGTGATTTTGAGGGAACGATATAGCCTTTCCGTAGGTTTTCTTCTAGGAAGCGATCCAACTCCTCCTGCTCGTTTAGGGACATGGGATAAATCTTGGTACGCATGGTTGCCGGTGCTCCAGGTACGAGATCAATCGCATGGTCCCAAGGTTGGTGGGCAGGTAATCGTTCGGAGGCGGATTCTGAGAAAACCTTCTTGAAATCACGATACTGCTCAGGGACCATTTCTTCGAAGGTTTTAACGGGTTTGTCTCGGTTGGCTTCCTCTGCTAGCTGCTGGGAGTAAGTGAATCCTGCGGCGCACCAGACTTCCTCCGTCTGTTCCTCTAGAATTCCTGCTTTTACCCATGCCCGGCGAGTTTTATGATTGGCTCGAATTCGGTGTATTGGTGGTTCTTCCACCGCTGCTGATTCACTCGGTTCAAGGGTCGCTTCTAGTGGCACCTCAATGTGGGGGTTTTCTGCGGGAGGTTCCAGTTCCGGGAGTTCGAGGATCGGGGTTTCTGTGTGAGTGGCGGCTAGATGAGAGTACAAGATCTCCTCGTCTGGGACTTCTTCTATCGTTACTCGAGGAGGCTTTACTGAAAGTCGTCCTTTCTCCCAATCAATCTCCGGATTTACCTTCCGTAGCCAGGGGAGTCCAAGGATGATGTCTTCACCTCCTAGGTTGGTGATCAGAAAGTCCATCCATCGCTCTTGATTATCCACTGTGAGTGCTAGACGTGCAAAATGGGTTATCCGTCCAGCTCGGTTAGGTGTTCCATCGATATTAAAAACGTCGATTGGTTTATGGAGGGGTGCACATCTTACATGGTTCCGGGTGACAAAGTCTTGGTTTAAAAACAGGGCGGTAGCTCCACAGTCTACCATGGCTGCAGTTGTTATACTGTGATTCCTTCCTCTTAGTCTCGCATGAATTCGGAAATGTGGGGAAGTAGAGTTTAATTCCCGGATCGACGATATTGTACATGATGGGTGCGAGTCATACGAGGAAGTAGCGAACATAACAAACTGATTACGGGGTACTCTCGGTGCAGCCGAAGCGGGTACCCTCTTTAAAAACCCTGTTGAAAGCCAGAGGACGAGGAGGACATAGCGTTAGCACGATCAAGTAATTCCCTTATTTGACCAATCTGATTGGAAAAGTCCTGGTTAGGGGGGCTCGGAGTAGCAGTTACGGGTGCAGGAGCAGATGTTGGGGTCGAGGACGCGATTTGGACGGATTCGTTTGGGAATAGGGAGAATGGCGCGGGTCCCGTAGCGGATATCTGTTGGCGTCGAGGTTGCTGGCGTCGGCCTCGGTCTCGTCCGAGTCCCATGAATTTGTCTTGGCAGACTGCTTCCAGATGTCCTCGACGTCCACAGTAGCGGCAGGTGGTTTCTCGGTGTGGGCAGTTTTGCTTGACATGACCTTGGGCACCGCAGCCGAAGCATCGTCCTCGCATGCGAGCTAGGAATGCTTCCCTAGTATTCCCATTACTGGTGTGGGTTGCATCAATGTCCATAGCGTGGGGGTCAGCAGGGGTAGTATGAGCGGTATGCGTGGGAGGGTATCCAGAGTTCCGGCCAGTCATGGTGGGATCGTGCAGGTAGACATCCACCGATATGGCCCGTTTGATTGCCTCCTTCAGAGTCGGAGCAATTCCTTGGGCAATGTTTACGGTGATGAGGTGTTGTCGGATCTCTGGGAGTAATGCAGTGAAGAAACGTTCCCGCAAGTCAATATCAGACATTTCAGTCCGATCTCCGATATCCTTGAACTTCTGAGCGAATTCCGCAACTGTCTGTCCTTTACTTTGCCTGAGATTCTTGATCTCGCTACGGGCTTCCATACCTGGGTCCATTGGTTCAAACCGTTGGCTAAATTCCTTCAGAAACGCCTCCCAATTTCCTCCGAAAGGGGGATTTTCCGCATTGAAATGTAGCAGATGGGGAGTTGCCCAATCTCCGGCACTTTCTGTGAAGAAGCCCAAGGCGGACTTGATGAGTTTTACTTGGCTTTTGGCGAGATCCGGTTGTTCTGACGCCCAATTCTGGAACTGAGCCATGAAGCGACGGGCTTCAGCGCCATCTTTACCCTTGAAAACCTCGGGTTTGTTCATGCTTGACTTAGAGGATGAGCGTTCCTCCATAGCTGTAGCAAGGTTAGCTACTTGTCTGATGAGCTGAGCCATGAGATCCTCCGCAGAGGTGTTTGGGGCAGGCGGGATAGGAGTCGACATGATGGGAGTAGGCAATCGGGGCTGGGGAATCGGCAGGAAGGTTATATTGCTCACAGTGAGTGGCTCTCGGATTGAGTTCGAAAGGGCGTTGGGGCAAGGTTGAGACTGGCAATCACGCCAAGTATCGTCGTTGTTATGGGCGTGAGCTTGGTCTCTGGGGTCAAGTGCGTGCGGGAGTGCGGAGCAGTCTATACTGGCAACAGGTGTTTCAGAGTCGGGCGGAACTGGGGAAGACGTGGTGTCTATAGACCCTGCAAGGACAACCTTATCGGTAGGCTGTCAGTGCAGTAATGGATCTTGACCTAATGTCACGAAGCGGCAGAGGCGGAGTGACTAACGGAGCGGGAAAGCGGAGCGACTAAGCAGAACGGTGAGGCGGAGCAACTGGACAAGGCAACAAGGCGGAGCGACTAAGCAGAACGGCGGCAGGCTGGTCCCAGATAATGACAGAGATATATTGAGTATCGTAGTCATAGGTAATAATAAGTAAGCACATACCTGGTCCCAGATAATGACAGAGAGGTCAAGATAAGGGATCAGGCTGTGGAGGGTTGGCTATATATACATAATCCGGTCTGCGAGAAACAACGATGTAATACTGTACAGTTTAGGAACAAGGAAGGTGGCGGAAGCCGATAGAAGGAGAAGATGGGTCAGGTGGATCAGTAATCGATGGATCAGTAATCGATGGGGGTTTGACAGTGATGGGATGATGTATCGTACAAGTAAAGGCGTCGAGACGGTGAGAAAAGGAAAATGATAGGGGCTGCGTACTTTATGACAGAAAGCTCTTAGTAGGTTCCTTGGTGAAAAGCATTCCCTTCGTGACATTCACTTCAATTACTGGCTCGATGAAAAGAATGATGAAGACTGGGCACAATATCATGCAGACGATGTTAAATACTATTTTTCTACTTCTCTCCAGCGGCAAACCTGTGTACATTTTCATGCAGAGAAATTTTCTCTCTTCAGCCATATACCTCCATGTTCACGCACTTTACAAGATTTCTTTAACGAGTAGCAGAGATGCCGGAGTTACCGGAGATTTACCATATTTAGACAGATTTAGCCAGATCACCAGACCATCAGTTTGTGGTTGTCATAAACGATTTATTGTCATCTACTCTCATATCTAAATTCCTCTACCTCTTTCTCCTTACAACTGCTCGCTGTCCTTCATCTTTCGAATCTTCAGTCAGTTCCAAACTGACAAGAAAACCCGAGTGTAAATAATTGCATTTACTTGCGCCATGTAGCTGACCGATTTCCAAATTCTTCCTAGTCCACTATTACCACATTCTGCAGCACTGGAGTTGATCCTAGCTAGAGTGGAATCAACCTCCATATAGCTTTTCAGAAAAGAGGATGTTGAACACCGCGAATGCCTGTATGCATGAAACCCATCAATTGTGAATTTTGTGTCCGCGAAGAACTCAGGTTCTCGGGTCATACAGTATGGGCCGAGTGCACAGGCGAAGTCATATATTACACGTTTTGGTGCTTGCTTCCACCTGGTGATCATCGCAGAAAACACATCATTCCTTCCCTCGCTTTCGGGGATACAATGGAATCCGTAGGCTATGCTGTGCGTACACCAGCACACCATGATTCCTCCTGTCAGCCGTTTTTTCCCATATGTGTCATAATACTTAGAGCAAGCACCGCCGCGTTCCGCATTTGCATCTGCCTGGCCATCCTTCTGGATCCCTGGGTACTTGGGCCATCTGCGGATTTGGGACATCCCATAACAACACCCTGACTATACTCCATTGAGTGTTCAGGCGAGTGATACATCATAATGTGCGTACCTCTTCCCAACTTTCACCACCTCCTGTTGCTGTTTCTAGTAGCGGTATAGGACTGGTTACACCATTCAACACTCTCTTTAACACCTCGTATCCACGCTCATACATCCATCTACAGGTCCCGATAATCGAAATCCAGGAATTTCCAGACCTTCCCTGCTTCTTGTTGATGATGTGGAATACGCTTGGGATGCAACGCAATGCTGATATCGTGTCATTATCCGGACACTCTGTGAATGCATGTAGTGCCTTCAGTGATGTTACATTCACAGTCTGCAGTGCAGATTCCTCTGCGCTAATCTGTAATTGTGGTTAGAGTGAGCTCCGCTATTCTTATACTTTTGAAAGAACGTACCATCTCAAAAAAAGCTTTGTATTCTCTCTGAGGTTTCCACTTTCCATTTCTCTCCATTGCTTTGTTTCCTAAATACTCTTCAAAGAGAAACGCCAAGTGCTTGTTCACGCACTGCAGAGATTCCACAATGCCAGGATATTCCCTCTGTCTCTCCTCTGCAGGCCCTCGTTCCTTCTCATCATTACCCCAGCTCATACCACCTTTGGCAATCCAGTGGTGTAATCGTTTACGAGCAACACTGTCCTCTAGCCACTCCTTTCGCTTCGCAACAGTACGTGGACGGACAGGTGAATCACTGTCCACTGTTGTAGGGGGTCTAAGTCCGGCCCTAAGCTGTTTCCTGGCGTAGGCAAGAGTCACCCCATCCCATACGACATTCTCAGGTTCTTCTCCGCAACGCTGGCACTGCTTATCTCCTTCAAAGTTTATCAATCGAGCATATGCGAACCAAGCAGCACGGAAGGTATCAACGCCCACAAAAGGTATGGAGTTATCCTCAGCTTGATATCTTCTACTGACTTGTTGCACCCAGGCATTGAATGGCGTCTCCGAGGAGGTGAATGCACTTGTGTACTCGTCCAGTAGCTCATGAGTGAAAAGCAGAGAGTTGTTGAGATTAAATAATCCGAGATGTCGTGTTTCAGGCCCAACGTACTGCCTTTTGCAGGATGTACACCTCTGAAGCTCAATACTGGTATGTGCCGCTCTACTTAGTGTGTACACTGTACACTTCCGTAGGAATGTTGGAAGGTTTTTATCGTACAGTCTTCGGCTCCCATCTCGACAAGCACAGGCACCTTCTCTGTCCATACCCAGAGTCTCTGGAACCTGTCGGAGTGGTGGAGGACGGGGGTATAAGAGCTGATCCGTCTTAAGCTCGCACCATTTTGGTGGCAATACAAGCTGAAATGATATAGCGCAATCTTGCTTTCTCGAAGCCTGATCTGCTATGGGATAGTGAGATTTCTAGTATTTAGTTTGACGCCAATTACTTACTTAGGTTTATGCCCTCAATCTCTTCCATCATATCCTCTAATTCTTCATCGCTTTCAATCTCCTGTATTCCGTTCTTCAGGTAGCGTCTGGCAGCTGCAATATGGATGCACTGTGTGCTATCCCTCAAACACCGCCAAAGACCATCACCATCATCACGACCTTCATGAATTACAATCGCTCGACCATGTAAACTTGTGGTGCCTCCATTTTTCGAAACGGAGAAACGATGTATGACTTGTCCGCTGCTCACAGACTCCCGGTGAAAAAGAACTATCCTGGCCAGTCGTTCTGCTCAATGCTCATTATATCTGGTGTCCCAGCTGTATACAGAATCACATACCTGGCACATTTTCCTCGCCTTCCTGATTTGGTGAGATACATTTACGAAAATATCTTTGGTGGATACAGCTGAAATCGCCCTGGCCACACATACAGACAGCAATTATCTCCTGTCCTCGCCGAGCTGCTTCGAAATGGAACCAGTGTCGCTTTTAGAAGCTTAGTACATTGTGCAAAAATAAGACTTCTGAATGCTTACAGTTCCTTCTTTTTTTTTCGCTGACCATCCCTGCACTATGTACAAACTTCCACCTATTGGCAAGAAGCCCACAACATTCCACTCAACGGCATTGCAGTACTCTTCGTCCACATCATCATTTGCAACTGGATTGTCTGTGTCCACAAAACCATCCCATTCTCCCAGATCGATTTCCGGAGGATCGAACATTGGAATATCAGGATCATATCTGGTAGTCTCTATTCCCACTTGACCTGATTCTTGACCAGCTATAGGTACCTCAGTCTGTGGTTGCAAGTCTTCTCTGGTTGAATTTTGTCCCTGGCAGCCATTCAGCGTGGTTCGTCCTTGGCGCCCATTCAGCGTGGTCTTACTTCGGCGTGTCTTTCCTCTCTTTACTGGACTTGTGCTTAGTCCAGCATCAGTATGAGCAATACGGAAGGGATATGCACTCCCTTTTACTGTCGGGTCCGCGTTCCGACGTAAAGGACGCAGGGGTTCATTTGAAATGGGCATGAAATTAGAACTAGGGCGGAAATTGGCGGGATGTGAGTGCTGCTCGAGCTCTTCCAGATCTTCAGAAAATGCTGACATAACCAGGCCCAATCGTCTTTCTCCTTTGACCATGACACATGACTCAGGAAAAAAAAAACGGCACTCACCACGAAAAAGCAAAGGCGGCACCACTGCAAAAGACATCACTATTCCTCCTCAGAAGCCCAAAGGAGGTCCTCGCTACTGCAAAATATGTCCAGGCCGTCCGCTGAAGGCTTCCATAGAGTGCAAGCATAGTGCTCTTTGGCGCAAAGCAGTACGTGCTTTATACTTTCACCATCCAAGCTTTATTGAGTCCTTGCAGAACCCCAGCTGCAATCAAGATGTTACTGGTAACAACCCGCCAGTTGGCCATTCTCCTATGGTATGTTATTTATATATTTCACCAACTTGCCTTTCACTGTTTACTAGACTCACTCCGACAACATTCTTGGATTTCTTTTGCCAGCATCTCCACATACGCCAGCTCATAACTGCCCTACTGAGGTAGGTCTCCCACTTCTAAAGACATTATTTATTCCTTTCTCATCTATTAACCCATACAAGCCGGATCATATTTTTGGACTTCCTCAACCAACTTCTGTGCACCCGGTGTCTCCTCCGTTAGCTCCTCTTACACTGCCCACGTCACATTCCAATCCTTATCTGGCTCCATTCGGTGTAGGTTGAATGTTTAAATTTTAATTTTTGTGATCGATGAATTGATTGATTGATAGGAAGTTGACTTTCCGCTGGATCCTGTTCTTCGATCTGCTAGTCGCAGTACTCTTCAATCCGATACTGTGCTTAATCACCCTGCCAGTTCTGCTCTCCGCAGCAGCAGTGTTACACCCATGTCATCGCCAGGGGCGAGTTCGCCGCTGTCTCACAAATCTCGAGTGCGCATAACCAAGAACAATGTTACTCACGGTTGGGTGCAGGGTGCAGGTCACGGCCAGTTTCCTCTTGGCAAGGCATTTTCCGATGTTAATTTCATTATTTTGACTCAATAAATCTGTAGAACTTGTGCGACCACGGAGCCTGCCACCACCACGCCGAACAACTGATGAGCAAGGTCAACGCTTTTGTCGTCTCATGGCAGATATCATTGCCGCGGTAAGTCATTCATATCAAGGTTATTGCTGGATTAAAAATGATAAATTTGGGTACTAGTGTGAACGTATGGCATCAGAGAGCAACTGTTGGGTATATATTGCAGGCCAGCACCCAAATGCCAGAATTCCATTTCTACACTTTGCATCGCAACGTTTGAGACTGGAAGGACCATCTGTTCTGGATGAACTCCATGGTAGTGCCGATTGTCTTTTCACCTCCCTTCTCACATCTCATCGCCAGGAGGCTGCTGAACTTACAGACAGGTTGTTGCTAGCTCAAAATCGGATTAATGAATTGGAATCCGAAAAAGCTGCTTGGGAAAGTTCGCACTGTGAACATTGAATCACCAAATTAATCTAGTAATATATACCTTTTGTAATGTTTTGTCACAACACAAGGTCAACTTCTGAGCGATATGAGGGGAAGAAATAAAGACATCACCAACTCCAGTGTGATGACAGATTGAATTGATAAACCAAAATGAGTCAAGATAAGCCAAATCAGGGCGATGACATTATTTTCAACTGAAGATTGTGGTTCCAGAGATTATCTAATCTAATCTGAGATTATGTTGCAATCGCGGTCAATTGCGGTCTGAGAGTTCAGATGGGGGGTGCCTCCAAGGGTGAGAGGTGTGGGCTCGGGGGGCCCAGGGGCAACTAAGAGGGCTCACATTAGCGGCAGGAGAGGATAAAGTGCATTTAGAATCAAAGGATGCTGAATCAGAGCCTAGAGGAACGGCAATCGTCAAAGGATAATGAAGACTGGACAAATTTATAAAATGGGCAATGGGCAATGGGGATCTGTAACTTGGCTAAGGCTACGTATCTGGATCAAGATTGAGCCAAGGGGAATGCTTGGGCTTGAGTTTGGACCAAGGAGAATGCTTGGGCTTGATTGGTTCAGACACCATTTGTTAGGGGGCAGGAGGTTGGAATAATAGGCTTCATTTCAGCTGTAAAAGCAGTAAATTAAATGTATAATGTACTTGTTTTGGGAGGGGAAGGGGGGAGCATCAAAGAATTGCCAAGGAATGGCATACCTGGTTAAGCTGTGGATGGAATGAATGTTGACGGTTGATGGTTCCAAGATGGCAGCTGTTCAGTGGTGAGTTTAGATATGCGTTGCTCCATCAGCTGTATAGGTAAGTTTGAGAGTAAGAAATGATTACTTAGATGTTGTTTTCAGTCTCGCCAGGATGGCATATATGTAGGCTGTTATTTTGCCACCCAGTGAGACTCTGCCTTCTGCTGGTTTGTGTTACTTCAGAGGCACTTCCATCAATAAAAAAGTGCCTACATATAAGGACTTAGGAATGTGATATCATAGGGTACGCATACATGCACGCTCATAAAAAATCTACAGGCCAAATGAGAAATCCCCTGCTCCTGCATTGGGAATGAGTGCCACAACTCCTACAATTGAGGATGATAATCCAATCACCAGCTCGAAACTATTACAATAGTGTAAGGCCTACTCTATAGAGTGAGTAAAGAATTAAACATGTTGCAGACTTGGTAAAAATGGAAAGTATGTCAGAAATCTTTGGTGTTATGGGTTGGTTGCAAAATCGCGGCCCTTGTGCATCTGAGTAGGTTGCAGGTGATCTTTGGTGACCATTTTGTATACTAACTGAAGGCTAAATAATCACACATTCCTATTAAAGAGACAAACAGGTCAAGTACAGTTCAGCAAGGTGGTCTACTGTCTAAAGAAGAAGAGTAACATCGCCAATGGGTCACCAACGGGTCCCCAATGGGTCGCCAATGGGTCGCCAATGGGTCGCCAATGGGTCGCCAATGGGTCGCCAACGACAGGTCGCCAATGTCTCCCATACAAAATCACCCAACAGGAGCCAAGAGGTCACCCAAAGTCTAAAAATCACAACAGTTGTCATTGGAGAGTCAATGGAGTATATACTGTAATGTAAACCCATAAACCAAGGTAGCTACTTTGGCCGGAGGGACATGCGAGTCACTCTTTCACCGATATGCTTGAGCATTATACAAGCTTCAGTATACATGAGCTGAAAATGGCTTTGCTTCTCAGGAAGTTGTGGGAGAAAGAAGTAAGTCAGGTCATTCGCCATTTTCTCCCCTGCTGCCAAGTGCATATCGTACTGTTGTTGCCCCTGCGGATTCTCTGAATCTAATTTATGCCAGAAACGAAGTCCCCCATACTTATGCACCCAAGTATGATAATGCTCCCATATAGTTGCAAACTCTTCATACAAATGAGTGTATTCAGGGGAGTGCGTCTGAGCAAGCATCCTGCGTATACAATCTTGTACTTCGATGCGTCTTGTGGGATTTGCAGAAAGCTAAGGAGTGGAGTAACGTTAATTATGCCATCAATAATAGAAATAGCTCCTACTGTACTCTTGCTCTTTCATGAACATCGGATGTATGAGGAGTAATGTTACCATCCTGTGATAGACCTTGACCAGGTGTCAGCATGGTAGAACTGGAACTTTTCAATTTCCTGTACGGATAGACTGAGGAAAGTAATACCTGTCAAGAGTCTGATCCTCAGGTCTACTGTGTTGACCGTCGCCAACTTTTGGTGTATTTGACATTGCTGCCTGAGTAGGCTGTGCAGAGGTGCTGCGAGCAACCAAATTAGGATCAGCAAAAACCCCAGAACACAAGGAAGTACCTATTAGATGCGACGCTGTCAGTAGCGCTGCGGTGTTTTTGGTACCACTCCCTTGCCTCCCGTTTGCGTTTATCAGCATTCCTAGAGATATGAGGTCATGCACTTGTATTTGAGAGACGCACATACTTTCGATAGTACACCTGATGTTTTGTGAGTTCCTGACCTTGAGAGTCCCGAGAGGAGACTTTAGAAGAACGTCCCATCTGCTGATCCCGCTTTTCAGCTACATGACCGAGTCCTACTAGAGACCAAACATCGCAAAAACGAGTACAAACGGAAGGGAGAAAAGCGTGCCGCTAAATTTTTCCCTCGCTATGACGGACCGTACACCATTACTGATGTCCATCCACAGTTTTCAGCTTACACGTTGGATTTGCCTCCCTCACTCAACATCTTCCCCACCTTCCATGCGGACGAACTCAAGCTCTACACTGACAATGACCCCGACCTCTTCCCGAACCGCAAATTCCCCAAACCCGGACCCATCGTCACTGCTGACGGTCTATTAGAACTCCAGGTCGACAGAATCCTCGACGAACGTAAAGTGGGCCGCGGTCGTCGTTACCTCGTCCGTTGGAAAGGATACGGACCTGAATTCGACTCCTGGGAACCAGGCCGTTCGCTGCAAGAATGCGAAGCTCTCCTGCCAGGTACACTGGCAAGCAACACTAAGAGGAGGACTCACTAAGACCGACGAGTAAACAGGCGAAGATCTTGGATTGAGAAGATGAGGAGGATACGAGTAATTGATGATGGTGGTGGTACCAGAGTGAGTACTGAGGATGTATAGTATCACTATATATACTCTAGATGAGACCCATGACGTAGGACGTGCATGGTAGTGGTAACGGTAGGAAGCACGTGGTTGTGCTTCCACTCTCCCCGCTCATGGAAGAAGTGGAGCGGGAGGCATAGAGACAAGAAACCACCCAACCAGAAAATTTTGTGTAGGTAGAATAAGTAGAAACCAGTGCCTTGTCCCTTGGACGCCGCGCGTAAGAGTGAGAAGGTGAAATAGACCAGGCCTAGCTGTTAAGATCATGTACACCATGTAACCGTGCCAGAGCCACAAGGTGTCTAAGTGCGGAAGACGAGTGGGACAGTAGTGAAGTTATTAACAACACCGCCGTTACGCCGTTAGTCCCCGGAGAGCAAGAGTAGAGAGAGAGAAGCTAAGTAGCAGCCAGGTCGGAGCGGCGGTATCGCCGGTGACGAGGAGTGAACCAGAGGACGTCTAAGTCCTAAGGTTATAATGGGGAGTACTCCAAGGCATTGAGCCTGAAGACTTAGAGAAGAGTCAAGTTGAGAAGGGAGATCTAAGTTGATAATTAAACTGAGGAACTACAGTAGCGTACAGGTAGTATTTATATCTACGGAACGGCGCATCGGTGCGGAGCGCCAGACTAACTACTAGGAGCTATACGAGTAGTACCTGCAGGGTAGAGTAAAAGACAATAAGGAGAGACTAGAACGAAAGAGTAAAAGACAATAATGAGAGACTAGAACGAAAGGATATGTGTAGCGAGAAAGAACAATAGGAAGAGATTACAATAAGAGCAGATCTTCGGACTACCGAGCGGCGGAATGGAGGCCCACGGCATGGACTTGACACTAGCCATCCACCAGTCCTTCCCATATGTCGAGAGCTTCGCATTCTTGCAGCGAACGGCCTGGTTCCCAGGAGTCGAATTCAGGTCCGTATCCTTTCCAACGGACGAGGTAACGACGACCGCGGCCCACTTTACGTTCGTCGAGGATTCTGTCGACCTGGAGTTCTAATAGACCGTCAGCAGTGACGATGGGTCCGGGTTTGGGGAATTTGCGGTTCGGGAAGAGGTCGGGGTCATTGTCAGTGTAGAGCTTGAGTTCGTCCGCATGGAAGGTGGGGAAGATGTTGAGTGAGGGAGGCAAATCCAACGTGTAAGCTGAAAACTGTGGATGGACATCAGTAATGGTGTACGGTCTGTCATAGCGAGGGAAAAATTTAGCGGCACGCTTTTCTCCCTTCCGTTTGTACTCGTTTTTGCGATGTTTGGTCTTTAGTAGGACTCGGTCATGTAGCTGAAAAGCGGGATCACAAGAAAGAAGGACGGTTCAAATAATCTGATCTAAGCTATGAGCAATGAGTCCGGAAAGCGGCCGCAAGGAACTCAGAAGAGATCGGAGGTCTGGTCCTAAATCAGGACATAAATGTGAAATATTATTTAACATTGCACCGAGAAAAACTGACCAAGCATCGACATACACCTAGTAACCTGCCTACTCTTTTTTCTTTCAATGTTGATCCCAGCAAACATATCCCAGATTCTGGCTTTGAATATGGAGGATATATCTACTCAGGACATTGTTTCGTGTCCGTAAATCTATGTCATTCCAATGTGCAGGACTGAATATATATCGCAGAAATTTCAAAAATTAGTAATGCTCTCAAGCTTATCGGGAATGAAGACCAAAAGCTCGTGGCCTCAATCAAAAGATTGGAGGATTCCAAGCTCACCTGGAAGCCTACCCAGACAAGATCTGAACCAAACTACGGTGTACTGCTCGCAACGAAACACCAAAAACGACAAGAGTTACAAGGTCAGCGGGCCATTTTGCAGAAGAAACTGGAAGAACTGCATGAGAGGAAAAAAGTTAGTACATTGGCTGAACATTATAAT